ACCAGTCACAGGCATTGCTGGCGAGTCAAGCAGCGATAAGCGACACAATTTTAGTTCTCACTGTACCCGTGCCGAGGTTTAATTTTGTCGCGTGTGGCTTTCGCACTCACACTCACGACTGAGACTCGTCCGGCCGGAGCATACGGTGGCGGTATGTGTTGTCAGTCAAGGAAGAGCACTCTTGACTGCACGAAGTGGTGGATTGACCCCGGTCTAAGATTTGTTCGTTCAAGTCCGCGTGATTCATCTCCGGTCAGAATCGTGGCTGAGCATAGTCAATCAAATCAAACGTGTCACGCCGCTCTTGTGTTGCTCAATTCCGATCCGCTCGTACATCGTTGACCTTGCTCGTGTTTGCCACTGCATCAGAAGTCGCGAGACACTTACAATTCACGGTGACAGCGTATGTGATAGGTCGGGCTGGGATCCCGTCATTTGCAGCGTAGGGAGGCAGAAGGGTACCAGTACAGCAAGCAAGCAAGTCTCGAACATGCTGTCTCAATCGCAACCAAGTAGAGGAATTATTTTCGTGTTACAAATGACCCGCTCGACCCCATCCCACTCGAGTCTCCAACCATTTGCGAATGAGCTGCACAGTCAGCGCAGGCTGTTCCAAATGGATCCAATGTCCAGCACCTTTGACAATGTGCGTCGTCAAGGCGGAAGGATCTTCCAGATGCTTGGACATTTTAGACCCAAGCGAGGCGGGCAAAGCTGCGTCGTGCGTGGACATGATGAGCAGATATGCTGGGCCCTTGGGCAGCTTTTGAGATCTCAGAGCTGCGAAGGGTGCGCGGGTGCGCGGGTGTCAGAAAGAGCGATAGCGACTGCAGGGCCGTGAGCATACACAGTGCTCACCTTTGCCCTCTTCCCAATTGACTTGGCGACATCTGTAGTAATTGAGTCCGCCATCTATCGAGGCATGACACAGTCACAGTCACAGTCTGTCAGCTCTACCTCACCCCTCTGACTCAATGCTTCCCCGCCCTTCTCCCGCCACCAATACCGAAAAGCCATCCCGTCACTCACCAATCGTGCCGCCTCGTCGAGGATCAAAGTACCGCAGAGCGCGCTCCCATTCTTCCGACCCAGGCGGGATCAAGCTGGACTCCTTGACAGTCCTTTCCAGTGCCGGATCTTGAGGTGTGGTGAGAAATTGCTCAAAGCGGCCTTTCGGCATGAGGTTGAGCGATTTGCCCCATCGAGTGCCTGCAAGCTTTCTAGGCTGGATAAATGCAATCGCCGTAAAGGTCTCGATCTGCGCGAAGGAGAGATACGGATGGTGTCAGTCTATAGCCCCGTCCTATTTGATCTGGCAACATCGCCGGACAGTCCTCACCTTGTCCTCGATAATTTTGGTGCTCTTGGGATCCGCAAAGAAGGCTTGATAGCCGAAGGATGGCACACGTTTCAACAGCTCATCGAAGTCTGGCAGCTCGCTGGTCAGCAATGTGGGCGTAAAAGGCACCGACAGGCTGTGTGAATCATAGCAGCGGTCAGCCTAGCAAATTCAGATCACCGCATTCGAGGACGACGCCAAAGGCGCATATGCGCTCGCCTCAAACTCACCCCGCAATGCCTGCGATCTTGGTTGGCGCATGTACTCCAAAGAACCAGGAAATGTATGCGCCCCAGTCGTGACCAATGACGACAAACTTGTCATTGGTGCCAACGAGTGATTCCATAAGCCCCACCAGATCCTTGACCTGCGCGCCCGCTCCATACTCTGCGATCCTCTCTATGGGCGGTCTGCTAGTCAATCCATATCCGAGCATGTCCGGTGCCACGCAATGAAATCCCGCAAGGACAAAGGGTGTGAGGATGCGAAGGAAGGATTGAGCATCGGGAAAACCGTGACAGAAGAGCAAGTGTGGTCGGTCTGGTGCTGCTCGAGGTGGAATGCCGTAGAAGTATCGATACCTTCGCGAGGTGGGCTCTGCACTGGGTCGAGAAGGTGGCGTGTCGCGCGGCGTCACGTAAAAACGAGACTCGAATCGGTCCTCGAGGGATTGGCTATAGCCTGGCATCTTGAAGAATGTGTTCGTGTGAGTGAAGCGAAGCGCTTATGAAGCAGCAGTCACTTTTGGCAAAGGCGAATGGTTGTTAGTGTGGACTAAATACTTGTACGAATCAGCACTCAAGGACCTGTATGGTCTGTGGGGCCTCTACACACAACGCATATGCAGTAGCAGCGCAACTGTGTAGAGGTGGCTAACTGCCCGGAACCTCGGCAACCCGAAAGATGCCGGCTGGAAGGTACGCGCTAGGAACGTGCGCGTGCGGGGCATTTGCCGCACAGCACAACTCCACGCCCGACCTCTCCTCTTGCTCAACAACCTCGCGGCTAGGTGAGCAAGCCGAAGTGATTGCACGAGCGAAGCAAACCCTTGTCAGCTCACCCAGAAAGAAGCAGCGAACAGAGCCTGCGACTACAGCAAGGTGGAGGCAGCTCACGTCGAATTTTACTACTGTACTGGATCCCGTACTTTGCTTGGGAATTCTATCCTTCTTGGCGTGTGCGCCTCTCAACTCCGCAATGGAGGCAACTCTGGCAAAAAAATGTAATGTGCGTGCAAGTCCAATTTCAATTCGTAATGGGAATGGGACCAGACGTACAACGGGCAGATGCTGCAAGAGTGTGCGCGTTCACAGCCCGGCTGTAGAGCAGAAGCCGACTGGCGGAGTACGAGACGCATTCGACAATGCGCTGTTTCTGATTCCAGACCCATGATACTCATCCGGATCAGGACGCTGAGCGGTCACTCTAGTCTCCCTACTTGGATTTTGCCTTCTCCTTCTCTGCTTCCTCCTCTTCGTATTCTCCCTCTTCTCGTTCATCCTCCGCAGGTCCGCCAGCAAGCGCGCTACAGGGGACAGATGGCCGTGTGAGCACAAGCAAGTCACTTTCTGACACGAGCGGATCGAGAAAGAGACGTACCGGATCATGATCCTCCACATCAGGAAATACCAGAAGAGGTTTAGACAGAGGAGAATGAAGAGGGGCGCGAAGACCTATCAGAGCGCAAAGCAGCAAGTACAGAATGACCATCATCAGCGAAGACGTGACCACGAATTACTCCTTGATCCTTGCTCACCTGGTACTTCATCCACCCTAATAGTTGACGAGGCGAAGTTTGACGCTGTTAGCCAAGGTCTTCGAGAGGCTGCGGAGCGGTGTTGTCGCAGAGCCCCAGCCTGAAGAACTCACAAACCATCCACCATCCTTGAGGCGGGTTCCACTCCTTTGTGTGTTCTGGTATGAGGTCGAATTGGAACCAAACGCTCCAGAGCGTACGCGCCGACTCATAGATACGGAAGTAGCTGGAGGATTAGGAAGCGTCGCAGTCGTCGAGTGAGGATGGAGGGATGGGCATAAACTAGGCCACTTTTGTGTGTGTCATACTCACGTCCAGACCACTGTGCGTAGGTGTTGGCGCATAAGCAGCGCGATATCGTCAGTAGCCACATTGCGCAGGACGAACGGTCGCTCCACAATGCAAGAGCAAGGACTCACCCATGAAGATGGCAAATACGGGCATAGTGATTGCTTCAATGCCCATGTAACTGAGCGCTTTGGACAATGCCAGGAAGGTGTCTGGGACGTCCATAGCCTATGACAGCGAAATGGTGCGTGGTGAGGAAATCCAGTCCGCGTTCAGAGGCTTTGACGCTACTGTCTCAACAAAACTCACAACGAAAACAGTCTAGGTTGAAAAGATATAAAGTCTTGCACAGCGTCAACATGTCTCGACACTGATCGCACTGCTTCTCCACGGCCCGAAGGCTGCACTCACGGTCCCGATCATAGTAAGGTTTATCAAGTAGCTCCAAAAGATCAACCAAAGCGTGACCAGGTGCTGCAAGAGAGTAAAATGCGCTCGAGAGTCAGCGACGGCCTCGCTGTGCCGGCAGGCACATCCACTTACGTGCACGATAAGCTCGTAGTAGTCTTTGCGTGGGGCTTCGAGGCGAAGAATCATGACGAGAGCTTGCTGCAACCAGTAGCTCAACTGCAATAGGTAGTACGCTTTGAGCTCAGGTCTCATTTGCCAGTGGGGGTACTCTTTGCGGTGCAGACGCAGCATGTCAATCAGACATGAGGTCTATCCTAAGTCAAGCTACGACTCCAAGTGCGTAATGACTTACTGAGCCAAAGGTGCTCGAGGTCTTTCGAGAGCAGATGCAGCTTCAGATCAGCTGGAGGCGAGGGATAAGAGCTTAGCATGACTACTTACTATACCACCAAGATTCTTGGAAGGACATGACGTACTGCATGCGCCAATGCAAGTCAGGTCAGCACGGCTAGAAGGGGTACAACTGAGCGGAGGACCGGCCTGCTTCTCGCTCGAGCATCAGGTGCAACTCACAAGTCCCAACGCGCCGGCAGTTCCCCAGTAAAGCATAGCGTATCCCTGTTCCACGAATCGCTCCAATTTTCTCTCGTTCCTGATGCCCCACCATAGCGCAAAGGGTCGAAAGAGGTACTGGGTAGAAGCTTGTCTAATGAAGCTGAACACAACAATGTAGTAAGCGACAAACGCGAGGTCCTGGTAACCTTTTTGGTATCGGATTGTCGAAGGTGCTTCAGTAGGCGAGACGCCCGAGTGAATTGGAGCGGTCAAAGCCTCGCCGATCAGTGATGGCTCGGCTGCTAGGACCGAGGTGAGAGGAACACGGTGAGAGATGCGAACGAGTGGGGCCAAGGGGTTGTTGGTGCCGGAAAACCCGGGCACAAATTCTAGGGTGAGGTAGACGGCGGCCAACGTGAATGCAATCTTGAAGGATGATGCTGTGCAGAGATGCGGGATGGAGACACAAGGTATCAGAGCGGTGCTTCTAGCTTAGATTCAGAAAGCCAAGACTCACCTGGCACTGTCATCCACCTGAAGGTGATCAGATCTCTCAGCAAGCCTGTGAGCGTCCAATCAAAGCCATACTTGTCAACCTGCCGCATACATGCCCTCTTCTGACCGCTGCCAACTCACCCTTACTGCTCCGGTCCACTCCATCGTCGATGACCATCTTTCCCTTCTTCTTCGACTGGCTCTTTGCCTTTCCCTTCGCGGCAGGCGTCACCGCTGCATCTTGGGAGGGATTGCCACTGGCACTCAAAGCATCAGCAATGCCCGCCACTGCTGGGTCTTCCGGACCTCTGGGGCCAGATGGAGAAGTGATGTTGTTGATACCATCCGAGAGTGAGCTTCCTCGAGCATGGCCTGGACGAGCCGTGGCTCCAGCCCCTCCATCCGCAGAGACACTGTTCGACATTGCGGACCTTTTCTGGCGCAAGTGAGATCTCACGAACGCTGAGCCAGGATGAGTGATGTTGTGGAGTAACAGCAATCGTGTATGATCATGACAACACTCGTGTGGTCGTCATCCATTACTTGTGACTATGATTCGCATGCAGTGCCCACTATACGGCCGTGCACACACAATCAGCAGCAGCATCGAAGCTTCTCTCCGGCACGTTTACGGTACTTCGCTGCCGCCGCTACAAGACGCATGTGGGAGAATGTATACGCGGGCAAATTAGCATTTCCGGTCCGATGCAATAATCAACACTCAAGACTGTACCTCGGCCTTCGTCAGCGTGAGTGCCAGTTCTGCGCAGTGGGACGCGAAAAGGGCTGTTTGCATGGTTTTGTCCTCCGCCCACGTGGTGAGCCACAAGTGGATCCAAGATGTTGTATAGACTCACGACTGTATTGATCGTTGAATTCAATCGCAACCGCGGTGCGCTCATGTGCCCCATCGTGTTAGCGCGGTGCTGCTGTGCTCTGCAGGCACTCATGAGTCATGACTGCGCTATGCAGGATCTCCGGACAATTACAAGGCGCGTTGTCTCGTCCAGTGCCAGTCACACCTCCACGGTCCTCGCGGACACTCGACCCACGCCTGCGTGTAGGCTGCACACCATCTCGAGCAGTCACAGGTATAAGCCCGCAACGGACTTGGAGTTGAAGGTGGAAGTCGAGGATCGTTGAAGCTCTCTACGCCGCCGTGCGCACGCGTTCCAGCGACCACTCCTTTTCACCTCCAAGGATACGCACATCTTGTATCTCAACAGCTCAACTCGCATCCAATCCTTCGGCCGCATCACAATCGTTGAAGCCGAGTCATTATACCGTCAGTTTCTACCTCACGCGACGAATTGCTCCTCGAACCAGGCGACATCAGCGCACAGCCGCTTTCGACTGCGGCCAGCATCTCTCGCAAGCCGGCTTTTCGAGGAGCGAGTGCGAGCTCAATCAACCTCGGCACTCTCGACTTTTGTCGAAGCACTCCGAAATGGATGAGCTAGCGACAGCTTCGGGTTCGGGCGATGGGGACATCTCAACTTCTTCTCTGCAGACCAAGCTGACGCTAGACCTTCGAGGCACGCGGTTCAGCATCGAGAGGGAGACGTTGATGAACTTGCCAGAAAGCGTCCTGCTATGCTTGTTCCCCAATGGACTTGTGCTCAGCAGGCAAGGAGCAGGAAACCAGTATGAAGACGACAGCGAGGCTGATGATGACGAAGAGGAGGTTTACTTGGTCGATGTGAGTCCGGCTAGCTCGCACGTGAGAATGGCTCCAACGGAGCTCTGGGGTCACTTTGCGCTCACGCGCGAAGCCACGGCGAAAGACAGCCCGTGCGAGGGACTGTCAGTGGATGTGCTCTCGCTCGTGAGCTTTAGCCGCACCAGGCCCGACTTTCGCTGCCCGTGTGCTTGCTTGATTGCTTATCAGGCACCGTTGTTGCCCGACAATCTTGAAGCTGCATCACATCGCAATCGCTAGCACCTGCGGTCGCACTGCAGCTTCACCCGTCCTGAAGAGACTGCATCCGCTTACCTTTCCTTCACGTACAACTGCAGTTCGATCCGACCTGCTTGTCGTACGTCTTGCAATTCTTCAAGTCAGCACAAGATATCTTCTACGGCACGCCGAGTGCGCCTTCCAAGCGATCTATTCTAGGAGCGCAGCATCCCTCAGCGTTGCAAGCAGGTGCCGAACTGGATGCATACGGACCAGGAGGGGCAGGTCAATTGGGCGCAGGAGGAGGAAACCCTCTGCTGACCAAGCAAGCTATCATTGTTTTGAGAGAGGAACTGGAGTATTTCGCCATCCCGCCAAAGCCACCAGTCGGTGCTGCTCAAGAAAAGGGACCTGCAAAGCCTCAGCCCTTGTCTCAGACCGAACTGAGCAAACTCAAGACGGACTGTGGAGAGGCGCTCATAGGAAGACAAAGCATCTTTACTGCACTACAACGTAACGTCAGCAAGGAAAACAACATGGCCGAACAGCATCTGATAGACATGCTCTGCATGAGGTGAGTTTTCACAAGCGATGAATGCACCGATTTTTGTGTTTGACACCTTTGCATGTTTCGTCAGCGGCTTCAATCGTGATGATGCGTGGGGCTTCAGAGCGGTGGAGCCGTCTAGGTGTTGCATTACTTCAATCGCACTCGTGCTGCTCAAGACGGGTATCACTACCACGGAGGACGCGGCGGCTTCCAATGGCGCCGGAGGAGAGATACAGATCGACCAGAACCAGCTTGCAACGGCGCAAAAGTTGCTGCTCTTCTGGCGAAAACCAGCCGTGAGTCGCAGCTGTCACGAAGACTTCACGAAGAGTGATGCTGACGTGAGTGCCATCCTCTTTGCTTCGCTTGACCCTTACAGCGCAAATGTTGGTGGGATGGTGTGGACGTTGTTGTGCCCCTGGTCGATTCGGCGCAAGCATCGACGACTGAAAGCGGGCCCACCTCGACAGTCGACGATACGTTGTTGAAGGCGGAGCAGAGCACAGGAGGTGGCATGACGGCGCAGGAAGTTGCGCTGCTCAAGTCTGGCAAGGGCACCAAGATCAGGGTCTGGGCGCGACGAGTGTGGACGTTAGAGCTCAGTCTCATCTGAGTCCTAGCAGGCCATATCGACCCTTCTTGCTTTGGCAATGGCGGCGCATTCGCGCTCACTGGGCCTTTGACCATCCTTCGCCATGCTGACCACACACGTCAGCGGCACCAGCACACCGGCACGCACGATGACTCTCACATTGCACCCGCACGCACTCTTTCTAGCGATCGAATGCTTGTCATTTCGCCCCTTGTTTCAGCTCCGCCGACCTCATCCCGGCCACGCCTATACCGTTTATCCTCCATTTGTTGCCGCTCTCACCTAATGATTTGACCACACCATGGACAACCGATATGAAAGCGATGCATACTACCTAATCGCGCACGCGACACTCTTCGCACTCGTGACCGGATCAGAGGGCGAAGAACCAAAGTGGGGCTTGTGAAATGGCTGCAGTGCCGCTGGATCGTGCTAGACATTCGCAACTGCGGGTTTTTGAAGGACAGGTTTAGTTATTCATTCAACGATTCACGTGATTCTTGCTCGACTTTTGACCGTTTTGTTGACTCGCCGAGTGGACCAGCAGAACTCGCGGATACTAGCTTAAGGATAGCGCGGTATGCTAGCCTTTGTGCCAAGTCAAGAGCTTTCGCAGCAACTCACAACTCAAACTGTGAGTCGTCGAGGCTTTGAGTGGGACGCGCAACGATTCTCGGCGCGAAACGATTTTGACAAATTTTTGGAAACTTGATGCGCGGTTCAGTTCCACCGCGCGGGTATTTCGCGATTCCGTGATTGCATGACC